AAAACAAAAAGTATGGTATTTTTAATCACTGTGGCCCGAGGATGTGATAACTTGTTGATGACTTCAATTTCCCAATGTGGGACCAAAAGTATCTATCTATCTTCAGAGGACCATGGGTTAAGGTTCCATTCACAATAGTTCTAGACTTTATTGATTTAGTTGTGCTCATGTGACTTCACAACATTAAAGACAATGACTGTGACCACGTTAAACATGTCAACAATGGTCTAATTATTTTCTCATAACGGAGTCTAGAAGTGGTGATAATTTTCAAAAACATGTGCATGACGTCAGCAGTGACTTTGCATTGAAACTGGACGCAACACATGATGCAGTCTGAACGCCTTGACGTGGTTCCTGTTGCCGGACCCTTGAATTTCTCCTACAGGGATCTATCCATCTAAAATGACATACACTTTATTGATCCCACACTATATCCATCCATCTAATCTCTGTCACATAATTATCTGGGGGAACAAAATGCATTTCTAATCCAGTTATTGGCACCTGTCCTCCCACTGAAATAGAAATTCTCCCTCAGCCTGGATGTCTGTGTATCACCACCAATGCAGACTTCTCCTTCCAGATGTAGTTGTCGAAACGCAGAGCTCTTCTGGTTTTTCCGCCGCTGCCAGATGGAGACGCGTGTGTGTGTAGAGCAGTTGTTTTGGTGCTTAGCTCGGGCCGCAGATCTGAGCAGACATGTCTCAGGCTGCTGCTCAGGGAAAAGGTCAGAGTGCGGCGCATAAGCAAATCCAAGCCTTCTAACGAGTTCCAGCTCCGGTCCTCATCGGAGTGTGTGTGCGTCCTGTTAGTCTCACTGCTGAGTCCCTCTGACAGCCCAGTAATAAGGCCATTACGCCCCACTCAGCAGCAGCAGCTTTTGGACAAGTGCAGTCTATTCTAATGGCAAGAACAGCAATCAAGTGTGCATGAGTCTGGAAGTTCTGCCGCTAACATCTGTATGCATGCTCTGAGATGAGTTATGTGAGGGCTGGACGTTGTTATAATGAAGCCAGATTACATCATTTGCTATTTAGGTAATTACATTTAAAAGTTGGGTGTATTTCTCGTTCTGTTTAAAGCTGGCGGAGGCGACTCAATCGTGAGAATCCACCAAGAAATGGCTTGTTATGGAATCCGTGTGACTAGTGGTGTCCATGGTGCGAGGATGGGCAGACATCTTGGAAAACCTGTGGCTTGTTGTAAATACACCTTTCAGAGCTGGATTGTGTAATCACAGACTGTGTACTATGAGGTAATTTCAATCTTCCATTAATCATGAAGCACTGAACAACTCTATGGATGAAAATGACTCACAAACATTTTGAAAGACGTCTGAGACACTTCTGATTAATTTATTTCTCAATGAGGAAGGAGAACAGCGTCTGGAATTATACAAATCTATTAAAGCCAAAGGACTCATCCAAGTGAGAAATAGTAACATGCCAAAATGAGAGCGCCTTGCTAACACATTCTAACCATTGAGAGAAGATAAAAGTCCCCAACCAACACCATCCATTCACTACGCCTTCACCTATGCAGACACAAGGAGAACATGCAAACTCCACACAGAAAGGCCTGGAGGTGGAAGCAAACCCAGGACCTTCTTGCTGTGAGACACAAGCTCTAACCTCTGCGCCAACGTGTTTCTAGACCAAACTAAAACAGTTTTCTTGATAGAAAGAACTTTAGGTGGGTCTCCTGGATATCTCTCTCTGCCCAGCATTCACCCATTCACCCATCCACTCAACCCTGGATCTCTCTCTGCCCAGCATTCACCCATTCACCCGTCCACTCAACCCTGGATCTCTCTCTGCCCAGCATTCACCCATTCACCCGTCCACTCAACCCTGGATCTCCCTCTGCCCGGCATTCACCCATTCACCCATTCACTCAACCCTGGATCTCTCTCTGCCCGGCATTCACCCATTCACTCAACCCTGGATCTCTCTCTGCCCAACATTCACCCGTTCACTCAACCCTGGATCTCTCTCTGCCCAGCATTCACCCGTTCACTCAACCCTGGATCTCTCTCTGCCCGGAATTCACCCATTCACTCAACCCTGGATCTCTCTCTGCCCGGCATTCACCCATTCACTCAACCCTGGATCTCTCTCTGCCCAGCATTCACTCGTTCACTCAACCCTGGATCTCTCTCTGCCCAGCATTCCCCCATTCACCCGTCCACTCAACCCTGGATCTCTCTCTGCCCAGCATTCACCCATTCACCCGTCCACTCAACCCTGGATCTCTCTCTGCCCGGCATTCACCCATTCACCCATTCACTCAACCCTGGATCTCTCTCTGCCTGGCATTCACCAATTCACTCAACCCTGGATCTCTCTCTGCCCAGCATTCACCCGTTCACTCAACCCTGGATCTCTCTCTGCCCAGCATACCCGTTCACTCAACCCTGGATCTCTCTCTGCCCAGCATTCACCCGTTCACTCAACCCTGGATCTCTCTCTGCCCGGCATTCACCCATTCACTCAACCCTGGATCTCTCTCTGCCCGGCATTCACCCATTCACTCAACCCTGGATCTCTCTCTGCCCAGCATTCAACTGTTCACTCAACCCTGGATCTCTCTCTGCCCAGCATTCACCCGTTCACTCAACCCTGGATCTCTCTCTGCCCGGCATTCACCCATTCACTAACCCTGGATCTCTCTCTGCCCGGCATTCACCCATTCACCCATTCACTCAACCCTGGATCTCTCTCTGCCCGGCATTCACCCATTCACTCAACCCTGGATCTCTCTCTGCCCAGCATTCACCCATTCACTCAACCCTGGATCTCTCTCTGCCCGGCATTCACCCATTCACTCAACCCTGGATCTCTCTCTGCCCAGCATTCACCCATTCACTCAACCCTGGATCTCTCTCTGCCCGGCATTCACCCATTCACTCAACCCTGGATCTCTCTCTGCCCGGCATTCACCCATTCACCCATTCACTCAACCCTGGATCTCTCTCTGCCCGGCATTCACCCATTCACTCAACCCTGGATCTCTCTCTGCCCAGCATTCACCCATTCACTCAACCCTGGATCTCTCTCTGCCCGGCATTCACCCGTTCACTCAACCCTGGATCTCTCTCTGCCCAGCATTCACCCGTTCACTCAACCCTGGATCTCTCTCTGCCCGGCATTCACCCGTTCACTCAACCCTGGATCTCTCTCTGCCCAACATTCACCCGTTCACTCAACCCTGGATCTCTCTCTGCCCGGCATTCACCCATTCACCTGTTCACTCAACCCTGGATCTATCTCTGCCCAGCATTCACCCGTTCACTCAACCCTGGATCTCTCTCTGCCCGGCATTCACCCGTTCACTCAACCCTGGATCTCTCTCTGCCCGGCATTCACCCATTCACCCGTTCACTCAACCCTGGATCTATCTCTGCCCAGCATTCACCCGTTCACTCAACCCTGGATCTCTCTCTGCCCGGCATTCACCCATTCACCCGTTCACTCAACCCTGGATCTATCTCTGCCCAGCATTCACCCGTTCACTCAACCCTGGATCTCTCTCTGCCCAACATTCACCCGTTCACTCAACCCTGGATCTCTCTCTGCCCGGCATTCACCCATTCACCCGTTCACTCAACCCTGGATCTATCTCTGCCCAGCATTCACCCGTTCACTCAACCCTGGATCTCTCTCTGCCCGGCATTCACCCGTTCACTCAACCCTGGATCTCTCTCTGCCCAACATTCACCCGTTCACTCAACCCTGGATCTCTCTCTGCCCGGCATTCACCCATTCACCCGTTCACTCAACCCTGGATCTATCTCTGCCCAGCATTCACCCGTTCACTCAACCCTGGATCTCTCTCTGCCCGGCATTCACCCGTTCACTCAACCCTGGATCTCTCTCTGCCCGGCATTCACCCATTCACCCGTTCACTCAACCCTGGATCTATCTCTGCCCAGCATTCACCCGTTCACTCAACCCTGGATCTCTCTCTGCCCGGCATTCACCCATTCACCCGTTCACTCAACCCTGGATCTATCTCTGCCCAGCATTCACCCGTTCACTCAACCCTGGATCTCTCTCTGCCCAACATTCACCCGTTCACTCAACCCTGGATCTCTCTCTGCCCGGCATTCACCCATTCACCCGTTCACTCAACCCTGGATCTATCTCTGCCCAGCATTCACCCGTTCACTCAACCCTGGATCTCTCTCTGCCCGGCATTCACCCGTTCACTCAACCCTGGATCTCTCTCTGCCCAACATTCACCCGTTCACTCAACCCTGGATCTCTCTCTGCCCGGCATTCACCCATTCACCCGTTCACTCAACCCTGGATCTATCTCTGCCCAGCATTCACCCGTTCACTCAACCCTGGATCTCTCTCTGCCCGGCATTCACCCGTTCACTCAACCCTGGATCTCTCTCTGCCCGGCATTCACCCATTCACCCGTTCACTCAACCCTGGATCTATCTCTGCCCAGCATTCACCCGTTCACTCAACCCTGGATCTCTCTCTGCCCGGCATTCACCCGTTCACTCAACCCTGGACAAAAACCTTTCCTTATCACTACACCTTCTGGATGAGCCGGTGGTCCCACATCATTAAACCGCGGCAGAGGAGGTTTTGACACCTCTCTATTGATCGGTATAGGTCACTCAAGAGCCTGAACCGGGAATAATGAGCCGCCCATGGAAAGACCGGAGCTGTCCTCTGCCAAGTAATGTATTAATAATAATTCCATCCTCTGCCCAGAACACATGAAAGACACCGGCCCTTTCTCTTAAACTCGGAGCCATGCTAATTGCTTTGAATCCCGGTGGCCTCTTGCCCTCCTCACATGGTCTGTGACGGTACTATAGGGCATACATTGTTATTCCGCCAGCGCTGCGTCCTCTGCCACGATCTTTCTCAAAGTCTATTTTCAAACGCGCCGGGTTCAAGGGTATCCCACGCACCCTCGGAGTTACCGGCGCTGTTGCCACGGAATAGGAAATTGTAGTGTGATTCTAAAATGTTGCGGGAATGACAGCTTTGATGGAGGACATGCGGAGGGTTCAGCCACAATGTCAGAGAGAGTCCTGCCGCTCGGAGAGGACAGAGGAATTAGAGGATCACGGTGGACGCACAGACGGGAAGCTCAAAACAATATGCTGTTTTTTAAAGGGCACCACGTTTTTTGCAGAATCTCTCAACTTTGAACAGGTTTTCTTTTGCCATGTCTCAATTGAAATGTTGGATTATATCGGGGCGACAGTGGCTCAGTTGGTAGAGCATTGGTCGTTAAGCCTGAAGTTTGTGGGTTTGAGCTTTCTCCACCAACTCCCACTGCTGTCGTTTTGTCCTTGGGCAAGACACTTCACCCCCATTGCCTAGAATGAGTCTGGTGTGTGTGTGAATGGTTGGTGGTGGTGGGAGGGGCCGATGGCACAGACTGGTTGCCTCGCTTCTGTCAGTGTGGCACTATATAAAACCGATGCATTATCATAATTATTTTGGATTTGCCCCTTTATAGTGAAAGATCTGGTACATCACAGAAAGCTCTCACTGATTAACAGCTTATGATGTGCTGATTAGTGTACCCTAAGATGGGAACGTGTTAGTTTGAAGTTACTCAGATGTTGCACTGTATAATAAGGACTACTAAGGGCTTAATAAATAAAATATAAATAAACAGCTGATAACGGTTTATCAGCTGTTTACCACATTGCTCTAAAGGCTGCAGGTAAGAAAAGTATTATTACTATGAACTTTTAGTCAACATCAGTTACTGTCTATCAGCTCTCCACCCAAACGATAACATGTAACAGTAACAACATGTGTTCTTCATGAGACCACACAAGTCAGGTACCTCAGCTTTAATAGCCAGTAGAAAGTCCTCCAACACTTTCACAAATGCATTCTTGACTCACGCAGAGAGTTCAGGCCCTTGGAACATCTCATCTCTCCCCGTCTTTCACAGCGACAGCCTCTCCCGGTGTAAAACAGTGTGTTAAAGGCTGCAGGTGACCCAGATGGAGCGTGAGCTGACCCGCTTCCCCGTGGCGGGCTCGTGCGTTGGGGTGTGCGCCTCCCCTGACCCCTCACGTCTGAAGCTTGAGTGCCGCGGTGTATGGAGAGTGCATTAGTGAGACGGGCTGTTATCTGCCCTTCACCGCGGAACACACCCGTCACGCAGTCTGGGCAGAAGGCTCTGTTAAAACGGCATCGGCCGACGCTAAATTGTATCCGTGGATCGATCTGAGAGTAACGCGGGATGACAGGTAGCGGTTAGAGGTATGCGGGGAGGCAAGATGGCGGCTGGACTTTTTCCTGGTGCACTATATGGAGGCAATAAACATTTGAATAGCGTGAACCGCCTTCCTGAAATCAAAGGAATACATTGGTGTCAAACTGATTAGATATACTGCTTTTTGTAGTAGAGTCGATCCTCGCAGATGCAGGAGCGTTATGGACCAAAGGCTCTATGTGTTTTTTATCATTGTCTTTCTTCACTGCAAAAAATGATAAAAACATGGGGTAGTAATTGCTTGAATCAAGTGTTTTTTTTATCCTAATTGAAGTACATTCTGACTGCGTTAAAACAAGATGGAACAAGCTATTGTCATTTAAAACAGCTTCATTTTCTCATTCCAAGGGAGATATTTTTTTTATCTTTGTAAGACAAGATAATGTGTCCTGTCTCGTTGGCAAATTTTGTTTTAAGGCAGTGACTATGTGCCTAAAGTTAGATCAATTTAGCAAAAGATTGAGCAATTTTTAACGTAATTGTTGTGTTTTAACTCCTGGATTCTCTGATCTGTGTTGGTGAATTCAAGAATACATTGAATGGAGTTGAATTGAAAGCAGTGGTTGCATGGTCAGGACTTCTTTGGCTGCTAAAACACATACCAGGAAGTGCCCTGTTTGCATGCTAGTCATTGGGAGCTTTACTATGACAACACAACTTTTACTTATTTGTTCATACTCACTTTTTTAAACAATATTTTCACATCGATTTGTCAGAAAATCACTGCAGAGAATGTCCCACGTGCTTAAATAATTCCTGCGGCTCTTGTTTATGGCTTGAGGGCGAGAGGAGGAAGACAAGGACACAAATATTACAACAGCGCTGAGCCGGCGAGTGAAAGAGGATATTAAAACAGACTGTAATCCGTTTCAAAGACGCACATCAGGGCAGAGGTGCGAGGAACAGAGTCAGCCGCCGTCACAGGAGTTAGAAAAGGTCAACACTGTTTATCTGTGTGTGTGTTTTAATAATAACTGCAATAAAAAGGTATGGAGAGTCCAGGCCAAACGGGAGAGAAGAGGTCAATCATATTCATCATTCTTTTATTGTCTCGTAACACAAGAAAAAAATGTCTTTCAATCTTTCTATACCGTGATAAGTGTGATTCCAATGCAAATAATCATGTTTAATCTCCGTATCATAGTCTCATGGTAACACACAGGGCGGCACGGGGGCACCTCCAGGACCTTTTTGATTGGAGGTTGCATGTTCTACCAGTGTCTGTGTGGTGTCCTCTGGGTACACTATTTTCCCCTTCCATTAAAGACATGTACAAATGAATGAGTGTGTGTTGTGTTGGCTCCATACACTGCAAAAAGTGATACAAAAAAATGACAATTGCTCAAATTTGGCAAAATGTTTCTTCATTTGAGCACATTCTGACTGAGCCTTAAAACTAGATTCTCCAATGGGACAAAACATAATTGTCTTGTTTTTAAAGAAATACAAGAAATATCTGCGTTGGAATGAGAAACTAAAGCAACAGTTTGTGAAATAAGATTAAATGTCTTTGTCCCATTGGAGAATCTTGTTTTAACACAGTCACAATGAGTCAGATTTAGATAAAAACCACTGGATTTAGGCATTTATTACATATTTTACCATTGTTTGCAGTGTAGCTACAATTTGGTGTGAAATACATACTGTCCCGACAAATAAACAAATAAATACAAACCAGAGGTGGTGAGAGATAAGAGGCCAGGTTATGGAGGGAGTTGTAGGTGGAGGAGAAGGACCTCATTTTGTACGGGGAACCAGTTGTTTGAGGACGGGGGTGATGTGGTCTCTGGAGTGGCCATAAAGGAGGCTATTGCAGTAGTCGAGTCTGGAGGTGATGAAGGCGTGGATGAGGACGTCTGCACCGGCCTATTGGAGCAAGGGGGTGGGAAATGGATGTGTTGTGAGTAGTAGAAAGAATTTTATAACAAGCATTAAACAAAATGAAACCAAAACAAGACACAAAATAGTGTGAGGATGTAAGCTTTTATTTTGGCTCCAGCCTCTCGCCCATTGGAAGGGGTTGGTTGGTGTAGTGTATGTGTGTTTTTGGTAAGCTTCACCCTTACCGTTCAAGAGAGGTTCACATGTATATCACACTCGACCCACAGAAGAAAACATGATTAAAAACTGCTTTTGCAAGAACCTCGATGAAACAGAAGTGTGTGTGTGTCTGGTGTTGGATTATGGAACACTCAGAGCGACTGAAAGGTGCATCTTATATCTTCCTTTAAAAATGTATAAGGACAAAATGACTGAATATGAAGAAAATTAAAATATTTATGTGTGTGGAAAGTTTGTTGTTGTTGAATAGAAAGGAAAAATGCTAAGTTGGTGACAGATAATGTTGGGGGTGAAACTGTTAAAATGTCTTTGCAAAACCAGGGACATGGTTTATAAGGCTTTTACGTCTTCCTTCGGGTCCTATTTGATTATGGTGCACAAATATAAAGGGAATATACATGATGTAAGTGTGTCATATGGCATGGACAAATAATAAAATACATAAACTTTTAATAAACCATTCATGCAACACGTGTGGAGCCCAGCGTTTCGGTTCTGACGCAAATTTTTCTATACAACACCTGCTCTGTCTTCATTCTATCTGCATTATTCTTAAAAAAAAACATTCAAATAGTGTTCCAAGAAAATACCAACAGTAAGACTATAACTTACAGATGCTTCAAAGGCAGTGGGGGGAAGAATAAAAACTAACATTGGAAATTAAAACAAAGCCACCAATGTATTTTGTGCAAGATCCCCGCCTAAGTCTCTGTCATTGCCAACACGTTCTTACCATGACGGCGGACAACCCTGTCTTTGCCTCTTCTTGTTGGGGGGGGAACAGTGTAGTCGCGCCTCGGCTGTGGCAGCAGGAAATACTTTGTGCCACTTCAAACAGATGTGTGATAAGTCTGGAAGCTACAAGTGGCGAGTTTTTTCTTTGGCGAGCGTGAGAGAGGGACAGAGAGAGTGCCTTTATCGCCGTGTAAGGCTTTGATGCCGGTGGTTATCCTCTGGGCTGGACTGAGATTGAGGAGTGAGGAGACACTCACACGCTGCTTCTTTTCTAAGGCTGCGGATGCGCCGTTAAACACAACAATACCGGGCTTCAACCGCTTTTTGTCCAATACAATAGGAGCTGTCTATATATAGATCGCAATTGCTGAGTGATAATGTGTGTGAGACGGTTTGCAAAGAGTAGTTATAGAACCACAATGTTATGATCAGTCGAGATTCCAATTCAAATAACAATAATAATGCATCGGTTTGGACGCTTAAAGATGCAGAAATGACTCGCGTTAGAATCACCTATATTTCACATGATTTCAGGAATTTCATGTGAGAATCTGAATCAGTTTGCGGTCGCTTAAACGTGTTGAAAATGGGTAAGGCACATTATGCTTTTTGCTTCAGCCTTCTCCTTTTGAGCTTTGTTCTTGAAATGATACCTGTAAAAATACATTATAAACTGCTTAAATTAACTTCTACTACTATTGGGCCTGATTTTTTTGTTTTCTCCTCTCTCTTACCGTCTGGAAGTTGAAATATGAAGTGATTTGCCCATTTATAATGTTTATTATCTGTGTATATATCAGGCCATTGCTCCAAAATCACACTTTTACTACACGGTTGTTGCCATTGTTTTTCTTTTCCGTCACAGTCGTTCTGAGGTGAATGAAAAGCTGCTTACTTGGGATCCGTCGCTACCAGCTGCACTTAGTGGTAGTTCTGTTACTGTGACATACCTTAAAGCTGGATTACCTAACTTTGAAAACACAAATAATTAACTGTGTCATAAAATCCATATTATTCCAAGCTCTCAGAAGGGTTTGGACCTTTTTCTAGTTTTGATTTGCATGTGTTTTGGTCTTGATCAGTGAAAAAGAGAGTACCAGCCGTCCCTCAGCCAATCAGCTTTCAGTATGTAAAAAGTAAAGGTTCAGATTTGTTTAAAAATTACTCTTTCTGGTCCCTCTTTCTGGTTCCTCTCTCTGGTCTCTCTCTAGTCTCTCTTTGGTCTCTCTCTCTGGTCTCTCTCTGGTCTCTCTCTGGTCTCTCTCTGGTCTCTCTCTCTCTGGTCTCTCTGGTCTCTCTCTGGTTCCTCTCTCTGGTCTCTCTCTCTAGTCTCTCTCTGGTCTCTCTCTCTCTGGTCTCTCTCTGGTCTCTCTCTGGTTCCTCTCTCTGGTCTCTCTCTCTGGTCTCTCTCTGGTCTCTCTCTCTCTGGTCTCTCTCTGGTCTCTCTCTCTCTGGTCTCTCTCTCTAGTCTCTCTCTAGTCTCTCTCTGGTCTCTCTCTCTCTGGTCTCTCTCTGGTCTCTCTCTGGTCTTTCTCTCTGGTCTCTCTCTCTAGTCTCTCTCTAGTCTCTCTCTGGTCTCTCTCTCTGGTCTCGCTCTGGTCTCTCTCTGGTCTCTCTCTCTCTGGTCTCTCTCTCTCTGGTCTCTCTCTTTAGTCTCTCTCTGGTCTCTCTCTGGTCTCTCTCTCCGATCTCTCTGGTCTCTCTCTCTCTGGTCTCTCTGGTCTCTCTCTGGTTCCTCTCTCTGGTCTCTCTCTCTAGTCTCTCTCTGGTCTCTCTCTCTCTGGTCTCTCTCTGGTCTCTCTCTGGTCTCTCACTCTGGTCTCTCTCTCTCTGGTCTCTCTCTCTGGTCTCTCTCTGGTCTCTCTCTGGTCTCTCTCTCTCTGGTCTCTCTCTCTAGTCTCTCCCTGGTCTCTCTCTGGTCTCTCTCTGGTCTCTCTCTCCGATCTCTCTGGTCTCCCTCTGGTCTTCCTGTAGTCCTCAGTCCTGTTTCTGCACCCTAGTGTCCTCTGCAGTGGATGCACAGCTTTTGACAGCTGCAGCAGCCCTCAGACCCTCTCTCTGGTCTCTCTCACTTCAGCAGTCGTGAGTTCAGGTGGTTAGAACATTGTATACAGTGTGTGTGTGTGTGTGTGTGTGTGTGTGTGTGTGTGTGCGTGTACAGCCTTAAAACATACAGCTGCTATTTCACATAGTGTGGGATATTTTTAGACCGTAACCGGCATGATAAACGAGGGATCAGTGTAAACCAAAATTGTACAGCGCTTTCTGTGACCTGTGATTTTTTTTTACTTGGTTTATAACAGAAAACAGCACATTATGCACATTATCCCGAAAAATAGGAAACAATAGACTAAAGTTTTTTAGGCAGTCACTTCTGGACTTCTGTGCAGGACCCAAAGGTCAGGACCAAACAGAGTGAGGCAGAGTTTAGTTTTTATGTTCCTTGTATTTACATAAACTTGTGCCCTTTAAAATTATTGTTATTATTATCCATCCATCCATCCATTTTCTACCCTTTAATCCATTTCTGGGTCAGGGGGGTGGCAATCAGAGATGCCACCCAAGTCTCATAGCACCAGCCCCTCACTGACCCTCTGCAGGTGGTGAGTCCACAGGAGGACGGCTGCTCTCTGAGTGTGAGCATAGCCTTGATCTTTCAGTGGGGCTTTGGGCAAAGTGGGGTTAAGTGTCTTGCCCAAGGACACAACGACAGCAGTCATCAGTGGGAGAAGGTGCAGAGGTGGGAATTGAACCCACGACCTTCTGGCCTTAAGGCCAATGCTCTACCAACTGAGCTACTGTCGCCCCGTTGTTATTATTATTTGTATCATTTTAGATGTATGTGTGTTTGTGTGTGTATCTCTATATCTGTTTTATATTTCTCAGTGTTTTTATTCCTACAGTGTTTTGCTGTTGAATGGTGCTTCATGAATACATTTGTCTCTCATCCCAACCCGTACCAACAGACCAGAGCAGAGAGAGAGAGAGAGAGAGAGAGAGAGAGAGAGAGAGAGAGAGAGAGAGAGAGAGAGAGAGAGAGAGAGAGAGAGAGAGAGAGAGAGAGAGAGAGAGAGAGAGAGAGAGAGAGAGAGAGAGAGAGAGAGAGAGAGAGAGAGAGAGTACAGAGAAAGAGACAGAGAAAGACAGACCAGAGACAGAGAAAGAGAGACCAGAGAAAGAGAGACCAGAGACAGAGAGACCAGAGACAGAGAAAGACAGACCAGAGACAGAGAAAGAGAGACCAGAGAAAGAGAGAGAGAGACAGAGAGTACAGAGACAGAGAAAGAGAGACAGAGAGTACAGAGAAAGAGAGAGAGAGAGAGAGAGAGACCAGAGACAGAGAGAAAGAGAGAGACCAGAGACAGAGAGAAAGAGAGAGAGAGAGTACAGAGACAGACGCAGTGGATGAAGTTAAGCTGCACTAACTGCTTGTTGTGACTCCGGGGACCGAGCTCAATCGCTCTTTCACAGTCCAACTGCGGCGGAGAAAGACCCACATTGTTGCGTGTTTGTGGTGGATTATGAGGGCCCTGTCACAACAGAGGTTTTATGTGACGGGCTCTCTCTCTCTCTCTCTCTCTGGCCTGGCGGGATGGCGCTGTCGTGAGCAGGAGCCGAGGGAATGCGGACGAGGCCTTAATGAGGTCCACAGCCCGATCCACCCCCCTCCATCCCCCCTGCTCCGCGGTCTGGAGCGAGGTCAAGCCTGAACAGTGGGAGGTCAGGGGCGAGACGGGTCTGGGTCCGGGTCAGCGAGCAAGCACTTTATGGAGTCTACTCTGGGGCTTGAAGAGGGGAATAATGAAGGCGCTAATATTGTTTATATTATTATACGGAATGTGTAAGATGTGTTGCTGGTTTTCTACATGAGACAAATGCAAAAATGAAAGGGTTGTTGTGAGATTGCAGCTGGGGAACATGCACTTTGTAAAGCGCTTTGCAGGACCTCGGTGTGAGAAATGTGCTACATAAATGAGATTACGTACTTACTTGAAAAGCTGATCCATAGATTTCAGAGTCTAATAATAACTGCAGGTGAAAACTATTGGTAGATGCAAAATGTTTCGAGAGCAAAAAGACAGATCTGTACGGCGGTACCTTTTTGTGTTGCTTTTTGACAATTGTGCTGTTTTTAGGACTTTCCCCAGTGCTATTGTAGCCATGCATGTATGCAGAATCCAGATCTCGCCAGATTTCTGAAGCTGTGCAGGGCAGGGCCTGGTTAGTGCTGTGATGGGAGACCTCTGGGAACAGCAGGTGCCACAGTGGGGCGGCTGCGGCCAAAACTGTGGTTGTGTCCTTAGGCAAGACACTTCCCCCACAATAGAATGAGTCTTGTGTGTGTGTGAATGGTTGGTGGTGGTGGAGGGGCCTCGCTTCTGTCAGTGTGCCCCAGGGCAGCTATGGCTAAAATAGAAGTTTATCACCACTGTGTTTTGAGAGAAAGAATACGTTTTTGAGCGTCCAGAGCGTGCATCGGTCCTATAAAACAGATGCATTATTATTATTATTATTATTATTATTATTTTTATTTTATTTTATTATTATTATTATTATTATTGTTATTATTATTATTATTATTATTATTATTATTATTATTATTATTATTATTATTATTATTATTTTATTATTATTATTGTTATTATTATTATTATTATTATTATTATTATTATTATCTATATCGTGAATGATATTGTTATTGTGATATCTCCTCATCTAGATGCGACATATTTAATTCCTGTTTCTGTCACGCTGCGTTCCCAGGAATGGACCCACATTCTCCTCCAAGCACAAAGTTGCAACAGTCTCGTTGATGGTTGAACATTCCATTCCAGACCATTAACTCTACTCCAGCTTCCTCCATCTCACATGCATTCTGCTGCCCTTGAGCAAGACACTTGTCAAAGCCCATTTCAAAAACAAAGAAACAATACATTCGGCCGGTTTCAACATGAATCAGAATCAGAATCATGAATAGCGTGTATCTGTTATGGCAACACTATCTTTAAGGCGTCTCACAAAAGATGAAAAACCACGTTCGGCTTTCGATGAGAATAGAGCGAGGAATGCAGAAAGGTCTTTGAGATAAACGCACGGGTTATTAATGCTTGTCTGAAATCCCAGCTCCTCAATCCTCAGGTGGACTAAGTGCAGTTTCAGCTAATACCTTGTACTTTATTTCTGCTTACTTAAGATCTCATAATCACCATCATTACAGATTTCTCCCTAAGCCTCAAACCAGACAGTACCTCACCTACAGTATGTGCAAGAAGGAGTGCAACCCCAGCCTGCCTATGCCTCAGTCTATACCTCAGTCTATACCTCAGTCTATACCTCAGTCTGTACCTCAGGCTGTACCTCAGTCTATACCTCAGTCTATACCTCAGTCTGTACCTCAGTCTGTACCTCAGTCTATACCTCAGTCTATACCTCAGTCTATACCTCAGTCTGTACCTCAGGCTGTACCTCAGTCTATACCTCAGTCTATACCTCAGTCTGTACCTCAGGCTGTACCTCAGGCTGTACCTCAGTCTATACCTCAGTCTATACCTCAGTCTATACCTCAGTCTGTACCTCAGTCTGTACCTCAGTCTATACCTCAGTCTGTACCTCAGTCTATACCTCAGTCTATACCTCAGTCTATACCTCAGTCTATACCTCAGTCTATACCTCAGTCTGTGCCTCAGTCTATACTTCAGTCTATACCTCAGTCTGTACCTCAGCCTATACCTCAGTCTATACCTCAGTCTGTACCTCAGTCTGTACCTCAGTCTATACCTCAGTCTATACCTCAGTCTATACCTCAGTCTATACCTCAGTCTATACCTCAGTCTATACCTCAGTCTATACCTCAGTCTATGCCTCAGTCTATACCTCAGTCTATACCTCAGTCTATACCTCAGTCTATACCTCAGTCTATACCTCAGTCTATACCTATACCTCAGTCTATACCTCAGTCTGTACCTCAGTCTGTACCTCAGTCTGTACCTCAGTCTATACCTCAGTCTATACCTCAGTCTATACCTCAGTCTATAGCTCAGTCTATACCTCAGTCTATACCTCAGTCTGTACCTCAGTCTATACCTCAGTCTGTACCTCAATCTATACCTCAGCCTATACCTCAGTCTATACCTCAGTCTATACCTCAGTCTATACCCCAGTCTGTACCTCAGTCTATACCTCAGTCTATACCTCAGTCTATACCTCAGTCTATACCTCAGTCTATAGCTCAGTCTATACCTCAGTCTATACCTCAGTCTATACCTCAGTCTATACCTCAGTCTATACCTCAGTCTATGCCTCAGTCTATACCTCAGTCTATACCTCAGTCTATACCTCAGTCTATACCTCAGTCTATACCTATACCTCAGTCTATACCTCAGTCTATACCTCAGTCTATACCTCAGTCTATACCTCAGTCTATACCTCAGTCTATACCTATACCTCAGTCTATACCTCAGTCTATACCTCAGTCTATACCTCAGTCTATACCTCAGTCTATACCTCAGTCTATACCTATACCTCAGTCTGTACCTCAATCTATACCTCAGCCTATACCTCAGTCTATACCTCAGTCTATACCTCAGTCTATACCCCAGTCTGTACCTCAGTCTATACCTCAGTCTATACCTCAGTCTATACCTCAGTCTATACCTCAGTCTATAGCTCAGTCTATACCTCAGTCTATACCTCAGTCTATACCTCAGTCTATACCTCAGTCTATACCTCAGTCTATGCCTCAGTCTATACCTCAGTCTATACCTCAGTCTATACCTCAGTCTATACCTCAGTCTATACCTCAGTCTATACCTCAGTCTATAGCTCAGTCTATACCTCAGTCTATACCTCAGTCTGTACCTCAGTCTATACCTCAGTCTGTACCTCAATCTATACCTCAGCCTATACCTCAGTCTATACCTCAGTCTATACCTCAGTCTATACCTCAGTCTATACCTCAGTCTATAGCTCAGTCTATACCTCAGTCTATACCTCAGTCTGTACCTCAGTCTATACCTCAGTCTGTACCTCAATCTATACCTCAGCCTATACCTCAGTCTATACCTCAGTCTATACCTCAGTCTATACCCCAGTCTGTACCTCAGTCTATACCTCAGTCTATACCTCAGTCTATACCTCAGTCTATACCTCAGTCTATACCTCAGTCTATACCTCAGTCTATACCTATACCTCAGTCTATACCTCAGTCTATACCTCAGTCTATACGCCTGCCTATACCTATAGCCTATACCCCAGCCTATATCTCGGCCCAGAGTTCTGAGTCCTGAGTCCGGCCTGGAGCCTCCCGTGCCCTGCCTGTAAATATGTGTTGAGTCAGACGCCGTGGGAGCCCAACATTGAACACGTTGCAGCAGGTTTGGCCTCGTCCTGGGAATGGATCCAGATTTGAGCTCACAGCACTTCTCGGGAAATTTAAATAACTAATGATTCAAGTCAAACAAGTGTGCAACCACAACTTTACTCAATTCAGACTGGATAGATACTGGCATTAAGATAAGATGGGATAAACTTTATTGATCTCACATTGGAGAACTGTACACGTCATATTTGCCGTTAAAATAATCACTCGGGTGTGCAGGGACAGGAAGTGAGCAAAATGTTAAAAAAGTAAAAAGTTGGTCTCTTTTGTGCAAGATTTATGATGTGAAATTAAATTCGAAACAACCCACGTCTTTCTCAAAATGAAACGGGTCATCATCATGCGTTGTGGAGGTTACCGCCCACACCGGTTGCCGTGACAACGCCAGTGAGACGTTTTACGCAGCTTGAGAAAGGACTGGAGGGTAGCGTGTTGCAGAGTTTATTCCCTGATCGCTGTTTCTGCACACGCTCAGAACAAAAGTTTCACATCACCAGTGTATCACCATACGTGCAGTTTCATACCATCACTGAATAATCTTACTGGTATTCACCTCCAATGGTGTCATGTCGCCGGCCCAGAGATCAAAATGACACCCCAGCCCTAGCGCTTTCATGGTTGTACCTATTATACTACTTTTATGACTGTGTGTGTGTCTGTGTGTGTATGTGTGTGTCTGTGTGTGTGTGTGTGTGTGTGTGTGCGTGCGTGTGTGTAGAATATAGAAATGTAGTTTTGGGTGGGTCTATCATGTGACAAACTCCTGAAACTTGAGGCTGACTCGTCTTTCACTGTTTTACTGTGTTTGTGATTTAGTTCACGCTTCGTAAAATATCTGCTGAAAAAACTGACCCTGACTCAGACCCCGACTCGGACCCTGGTTCAGTCTCTGGTTCAGTCTCTGGTTCAGGCTCTGGTTCAGTCTCTGGTTCAGGCTCTGGTTCAGTCTCTGGTTCAGGCTCTGGTTCAGTCTCTGGTTCAGTCTCTGGTTCAGTCTCTGGTTCAGTCTCTGGTTCAGGCTCTGGTTCAGTCTCTGGTTCAGGCTCTGGTTCAGTCTCTGGTTCAGGCTCTGGTTCAGTCTCTGGTTCAGGCTCTGGTTCAGTCTCTGGTTCAGTCTCTGGTTCAGGCTCTGGTTCAGTCTCTGGTTAAGTCTCTGGTTCAGTCTCTGGTTCAGGCTCTGGTTCAGTCTCTGGTTCAGTCTCTGGTTCAGTCTCTGGTTCAGTCTCTGGTTCAGTCTCTGGTTCAGTCTCTGGTTCAGTCTCTGGTTCAGTCTCTGGTTCAGTCTCTGGTTCAGTCTCTGGTTCAGTCTCTGGTTCAGTCTCTGGTTCAGTCTCTGGTTCAGTCTCTGGTTCAGTCTCTGGTTCAGTCTCTGGTTCAGTCTCTGGTTCAGTCTCTGGTTCAGTCTCTGGTTCAGTCTCTGGTTAAGTCTCTGGTTCAGGCTCTGGTTCAGTCTCTGGTTCAGACCCCGACTCAGACCCCGGGTCACCCACATGGTCTCACCCACATGGTCTCACCCACCTGTTCTCTTCCACACAGCTCCGTCGCAGGTGAACGAGGTGGTGAGGGAGAAGATCCAGCAGCGCAGTGTGCAGCTGTCCTGGCAGGAGCCGCACCATCCCAACGGAGTCATCAAGGAGTACGAGATCAAGTACTACGAGAAGGTAATGTTCTGCTAATGTCTGTGGCATGTCTGTGCCATGTCTGTGGCATGTCTGTGCCATGTCTGTGCCATGTCTGTGCCATGTCTGTGCCATGTCTGTGCCATGTCTGTGCCATGTCTGTGCCATGTCTGTGGAATGTCTGTGCCTTGTGTGTGCCTTGAAGGGCGACAGTAGCTCAGTTGGTAGAGCATTGGTCTTTGAGCCAGAGGGTCGTGGGTTCAAGCCCGACCTTCACCATCGACTCCGACTGTCTGCTGTCGTTGTGTCCTTGGCAAGACACTTAACTTCTGGGAACAGCAGGTGCCACAGTGGGGCGGCTGCGGCTGTAAAGTGCCAAACTGCCGTTGTGTCCTTAGGCAAGACACTTCACCAACATTGCCTAGAATGAGTCTGGTGTGTGTGTGAATGGTTGGTGGTGGTGGGAGGGGCCGATGGCACAGACTGGTTGCCTCGCTTCTGTCAGTGTGCCCCAGGGCAGCTGTGGCTACAGTAGTAGTTTATCACCACCGTGTTTGGAGAGAGAGAATAATGATGTGAAGCAACTTTGAGTGTCCAGAAAAGCGCTGTATAAAACCGATGCATTATTATTATTATTATTATTATCATGTCTGTGCCAAGTCTGTGCCAAGTCTGTGCCACGTCTGTGTCTCACAGTTCAAAGGGCACTCAGAGGTTTCATGGAAATGTAGGGTGCATTATAAATAAGATAGATTAATATTTTAAAATTAAGTTATTATGTTTTGTAGTTTCTATCACTAGCTTTACCGTCTTTCTCCTCGGCCGTGTCATTCACAGACAAATCCCAGAGCTCAATAATAATAAATAAGTTATCAATGTCTTACTGTGTCTCCCTGAATCAGAGCAGACTTCTGGAGGACTTCACACAGTTGTATTATATCTAATGTCTGATGAATATTTCTGACCAATTCTTTCAAATTCAACACAATATTTCTGTAGATGAAGATGAAGATGAAG